TCCTATATAATAAAGATGTAATATGCAAATGGTCATTACACCATGAAGCGTAACGACTGACCATGTGAATCATGGGTCAGCAGGAGGATGGGGCAGTGAGCTACAGGATGGTGGCAGCGAGCTACTGACTACAAGCAGGTGGTAGAGAGCTACAGAAGGAAGTAGGGTAGCAAGCTATGAGGGGGGGAGGAGGGACAAGGGAAGCTACAGGAAGGCAGGGCAGTGGGCGGAGAGCTACTGGAGGGCAGCAGCAAGCTACTGGTGAGCTACTGGTGCACAGATTTGTGCACAGGGCTACTAGTTTATAAATAAGATACAGTAAAATATTAATAATAATAACTAATAATAAAATAGAACAGTTACAACAACATATTGTAATAACAGTTATGTGAGTGGCTTTGGGGACAATATTAAATTAAAAAAAGGGTGAATTAAACACACGCACTGTGATACTGTAGCAACTGAGGGATTAACAATGGCTTTCTCAATGCTAAGCCCAGTGTTTGCTTCTCAGTCCTTATGTTTTTAGAACCATCTACAGCACTGACTCTCCCTTCCTCGAAGCACTGGGCTTCTCCGGTTTTCTTTCTCCCCACCTCACTGCTTGCATTTCACCTTATCTTCCTGATAAGTTCTCAAGATTTAGTCCTCAAACCTCTTTTTTTTTTCTTTTTCTTTTTTTTTTTTTTTTAAAACCAATCACTCCCTTGGTGATGTTGACCAGTTTCAGGATTTAAAATACTTTCAACTGAACTCTAGAGTCACATGCCCAATTGCCTACGCAGCCTCACCATTTCAGTGCCTTAAGGAACTTCACATGTAACAGATCCAATAAGAAGTTATATATAACCCTTTCCCCCATGCTCCACCCACTGTCTTCCTTATCAAGTGAGGCCAACTGCATACTTAGCTTATGCCAAAAACCTTGGAATGATCCTTAATTCCACTTTCTTTCTCACATTACATTGAGTTCATCAAATCGTATTGGCATTACCTTCAACTATAGACAGAATCTGATCATTTTTTCATCATGTTCACTGGTTCACTTTCTTTTCTTCACTTTGAGGAGACCATAACCTCCTGACTAGTCTCTCTGCCTTGTTTATTCTACTGTATCCATCACAATCAATTTTTTTTATAATCTATTCTTTTTTAAAAAAAATATATTTTATTGATTTACAGAGAGGAAGAGAGAGGGATAGAAAGTTAGAAACATCGATGCAAGAGAATCATCGATTAGCTGCCTCTTGCACATCCCCCACTGGGGATGTGCCCGCAACCAAGGTACATGCCCTTGACCGGAATTGAACCAGGGACCCTTCAGTCCACAGGCTGACACTCTATCCATTGAGCCAAACCAGTTTCGGCTACAATCTATTCTTTTTAAAATATATATATTTTATTGATTTTTTAAAGAGAGGAAAGGAGAGGGAGGGAGTTAGAAACATCCACGAGAGAGAAGCATCGGTCAGCTGTCTCCTGCACACACCCTACTGGGGATGTATCCCCAACCAAGGTACATGCCCTTGACCGGAATCGAACCTGGGACACCTTCAGTCCACAGGCCAACGCTCTATCCACTGAGCCAAACTGGTTAGGGCTACAATCTATTCTTAATTAAGCAGAAAATAATCTTTAAAAATGGAAGTCAAGCCGAAATCGGTGTACATGCACCCGCAACCAATGTACATGCCCTTGCCCGGAATCGAACCCGGGACCCCACGGTCTGCAGATGGACGCTCTATCTACTGAGCCAAACCGGTTTTGGCAATAAAAAATATTTTTAAAAAATGGAAGTCAGATGTTATACTTCTGAGCAAAGCCTTATCTCACAAGGAGTAAAAATGAAAGCCTCGTAAATTCTTTCCCCACCTTTCTCTACCTCACACCTATAATTTCTTACTGGTTCACTCCGCTCCAGCCCCCGGGGCCTCCTAGAGCATGCCACGAATGCTCCCCTTCCCCATACACATTCCCAGGATTATTTCATTTACGACCCTGATTCCTGAAAATGCTGGTCTGGATATCTGCATAGCTATGCTCTTACCTCTTTAGATCTTTTCTCAAATGATGCCTTTTTCAAAGAGGCCTGTATTGACCACTCTATTTAAAAGTGCTATCCCACTATCTCCTTATAACCCTTTTCCCTCTTTGTTTTTGATGATCACGCCTTTTGCTTGCCACTCTAACATTTGGTAATGTTACGTATTTTCCAAATCTTCTGTAGTCTGTGAGGTCAGGGATTTCTGTCTGTTTTGTTCACTGTGAATCCCAACAACCCGTGGCACACAGTAGACACTCAATAAATAAATAATAAATACTGAATGGATAGATCTTTACACCTGTGTTCACGCTATCCTTTTCACTTGAAGTGCCTGCTATTTAACTCATACTCATCTTTCAGAGCCTGGCTTTGAATTAGGAAAAACAAAGAACAAACACAGAAAAAGAAGTATAGCCTAAAGATAGATCATAATAGTAGAGGAGCACAGCACATAGATGGTTTACAACAGCTGTGTCACTAGAGCAGATAAAGTATATTTCTTGGGAATGAAAGAACTTTCAGATGTGTCTCAGAGCCAAGACAAGGAAAATCTGAGCAAGAATGGAGAGGAGTGGAGGTTGGATAATGCATTGATTGACTTTCAAAAAGGAAAAGGATTCCTCAACCTACAGATAAATATTATTCTAGAGTAAGTTATGAAATAGAAAGTTTGTGAACACCGAGGAACAATTATGGCAATCCTTAGAGACCTAAAGGGCCTTCAGGAAACATCAGCTTAGTCAAACCACCATGATTTTCTTTTTTTTGAACAATCACTAAATCAGAAGGCTGGAGAATGGTGAACATAAGGTGTCTGGTTTTTAGCAGAAACAAACAAAATCTCCCTTGATTTCATTATAGATAAGATGGTGAAATGTTACATCATTGTAGTGCTCAGTTTGTTCCAAATCATTTGAAAAAACATTTCACAACTAATGATTAAAGGGTTGATGTAAACCTGGAGGAAACTCTCATAAGAAGAGTCAGGAGTTGGCTTTAGACATTTCCACAATTGTCAAAGTCACTCTGAGGAAGCCAGAGGCATAGCTAATCATGTTTGTCTATCAGAGGAAGCTGGGAACGATGACACGGAATATAATGTCAAGATTCAAGATAATCTCATACGGTCATCATGACTTTTAAACTTAAAATATATATATATATATATATATATATATATATATATATATATATATATATATATAATTTATCTTTTACAGAGAGGAAGGGAGAGGGATAGGGAGTCAGAAACATTGATAGGAGAGAAACATCTATCAGTTGCCTCCTGCACACCCCCTACTGGGGATGTGCCCTTGATCAGAATCAAACCTGCGACCCTTCAGTCCGCAGGTCAATGCTCTATCCTCCGAGCCAAACAGGTTAGGGCTAAAATGGTTTTAAAGTGATGTGACAAACTTATAAAGGGTAAACTCAACATAGATGTAGGTTCAAACAGGAACAAAGATAGGGAAGATCTGAATTGGTTTCAGGTGGTTACAAGTTCAAGATGAGCAGAGGGTTGCTGCCTCAACAGAAAGGCAATGCAAAATCTAGCCAGGCTTGAGTCAAAGTCGAGCATTTCTCCCTTTCCCTGCTCTGACCAGGCCATGTCCGACCACCAGGCCATGTCGGAAGTAGTGTGCCCAGCGGAAGGTCACCTATAGATGTCAAGAGTTCTTTCTGCAACACTGACCTAAGGAAAGGCTGAAGAAAACGTAAGCATTTTCAGCCTGCAAGAGGAGATTATAGAGAGACTAATGAGTCCCAAATTTAGTATATGTGCTGCCCAAGCGAGCGCAAAGATTTCCAAATTTCTCAAAATGACCAAGTGAGCTGGTCCAGGGAACTGAGATGCTGTGATCATCGAGCGGGTCACCAGTTTTTCCTGGAAGCGGACTCTCCGGCAGGTGGAGCAGACGGCACCTCCGCTGCAGGGCCTCCCGGCAAACTTCCTTCGGAGGCCCCGGGCTCCCGGCTCACAGACACGCCCCGCGGCCTCGGGCTCGGCCCCAGGCGGGGACACGCCGCCCGCCAGGTTCATGCTGCACACCTGCCCACCTCCCCTTGGGGACCTGCACGCAACCAAGGTGCATGCCTTGGCCGGAATCGAACCTGGGACCCTGCAGTCCGCAGGCCGATGCTCTATCCACTGAGCCAAACCGGCCAGGGCTCCAAAGGGTTTAAAGTAAGGTGACCAGACGTCCCGATTTTTAACAATTTGTCCCGCGGAGTCCCGTCTGGTCACCTTAGTTGAAAGTGATGGGACAAACGGACAGAGTAAACTCAACACAGACGTGGATCAGAGGCGGCGCCGGCAGCGCCAGTCCTCCGGCTCCCGCGCCCGCCCCGCGACGCACCCGCCCGGCGCCACCGCGGCAGGGCGCGCCCTCGCCTCCCGGAGCTCGGAGCCGGGAGCCCGTCCGCGCAGGCGCGGAGGCTGTGCCGCCCGGTGTGCCACCGGGGGCGTGGCCTGGGCGTGGCCTGGGCCAGGGGGCGGGGACTCTGCCCGCCACCACCCCTCGCCCCGCCCCGCTTCCGACGGCAGACCCGCCAGCCGGGGGAGCCTGCACCTCTCCAGCCTCCCGGCGGCCTCCCTTCCACCCCCGCCCGCCCCCGTCTGTGCCCCAGGACCCCGCCTCCCACCGCCCCCCTCCTTTTAAAAAATATATTTTATTGTTTTTTTTTTTACGGAGAGGAAGAGAGAGGGATAGAGAGTTAGAAATATTGATTAGATAGAAACATCCATCAGCCGCCTTCTGCACCCCCCCCATCCCCGCGGGAATGTGCCCGCAACCAAGGTACATGCCCTTGACTGGAATCGAACCCGGGACCTTTCAGTCTGCAGACCGTCGCTCTATCCACTGAGCAAAACCGGTTTCGACTCACCCCTCTTTCTTGAAGGAGCACCCCTCCATCCAAGTCCGCCCCCCCCCCTCCGGCGCCCACCGCCCCTCACCTGTAGAAAGCCGCGTTGACCCTCTTTTCGCCGGGGAAGCCCAGCATCCCGCAGACCACGTGGCTGTTGTGGGCGCTCCAGCCTCGGTCACACACCTTGGACCAGCCGCCCGGCAGCCGCACCTCCACCAGCCCCTCCGTCACCGGCAGCGGCCGCCGGCCCCGCCCCACCGCTGGCTGGAGCCGCACCTCCTCCACTTGCTGGTGATGCTCCACCTGAGGAGGGGACCACAAGCACCTTTCACAGGTCCTGCCACCTCGAAGGAACCCCGACTGAGGGTGTTTCCCGCCAACCCGATGGGGAGCAGGAGCTCAGGGAGATGCTATGCCTCCCCCAGTGGGGTATTGAGGGGTGTGGGGGGGGGCTGGAGGGACATGCTGTGATGTGCCCCAAGAAATGATCAAGGAAGCTGAGGAAGGGGCACCTGCAGGAGCAAGAGGGAGCACTTTATGAGGAAGTGGCATTGAAGGAGGGGGGGAGTAAGGAGTGAGATGTTCTAGGAGAGCGCAGGTTTCCCTGGGGACCAGGGAGGAGGCTGGAGAGGTTCCTGCCAGGTTTAATGCTGGAACAAATCTGGACCTTACATCCAGGAGCTCTACCCCACCCACCCCAGCCCCCAGCTTCCTAACATATGGAATCCCCTACCTTCTAGTAGTTCCTCTAACCACATACAACACCCCACAGCCTCCTTGTCAGGCCAGCCTGGCTGGTGTGTGTGTGTGTGTGTGTGTACACACTGCAGACCTCGATGACATTGGAGTCGGAGAAGCCAGGGAGGCGCTGGTCCTTGCAGATGACCCCGGCATCCTCATCGTGGGTGCAGTCACTGTTCCCCCAACCCCTGGAGGTGCATTCGGTCACACTCCGCTCAGTCCCAGTACAGCTCAGGTTGTCCAGCCAGATGCGGCCTGTGGAGGGAGAGACAGGGGACAGAGAAGTGTGGGGAGGCCGGGGAGGGGGAGCGATCACAGAGGCCACACACGTGGCTCTAATGATTCCATTTTTCTGGTAAGATAATGGGTGGGGCCCTAACCGGTGTGGCTCAGTGGAGAGAGCGTTGGCCTGCAGACTGAAGGGTCCCAAGTTCGATTCTGGTCAAGGGCATGCACCTTGGTTGCGGGCACATCGCTAGTAGGGATGTGCAGGAGGCAGTTGACTGGTGTTTCTAACTCTATCCCTTTCCTTTCCTCTCTGAAAAAATCAATTAAAATATTTAAAAAAAAGATAATGGGTGGGGAAGGGACCCTGGAGGGAATAAAGAAAAAAAGGTATAGGATTGATGGAAGGCTGTTGGTGGTCTTGGGCTACTCAGGAATTTGGTGCAGTGAATAAAAAAAAAACAACAAGAGTCCACCTTGAAATTCTGCTTAGTTCTATCCACTCTATGACAGATACAGTTAACCAAGTACCTATTGTGTTAGGCACGCTGCCATGGTGTGCACATACATGATCATTCTTAGAACAGACCTGCCAGAAGTATTACCACCACTTTGTATTAAACATCCACGGAGGTTCAGAAAGTGAAGGAACTTGCCTGAGACCACATAGCCAACGGAGGATAAGGAGTTGGAGCCATTTCCGAGACTTGGAGCTTCCCATGTGCCACCCTGCCTGTGGTGACACATTGCCCCTGTTCTGGTCTCTGCCTGGACCTCACTGAAATGGGTGTCTCTGACTTCCTCTCAGAAGGGGCAGACCCTCAAAGGTTGTCTGTCCCAGCCATTGTGCAGGGATCCTTGATACATATTCGGACAGGACTTCCCAGCTTCTGCTGGGGCACCTACCTCCTGCCTGACCAGGCTGCCCGAGCCGTTACACAGTTCTCATGACTCTTTATGGCTTTTCCCTACCAGGTCTGATTCAGTCCTTTGATGCCATCCCAAAACATCCCTCCTGACAGCCACAAGACTGACCTCATATTTGAAGACACCCGTCATGTAGTTGCTATCCAAATTTCTTCTTCAGATAAAAAAAAAAACCTAGTTTCTTCAACTATGACTCCTTGAAAATTGGCTTCAAATCTTTCACATCTGGGCTGCTATCCTCTCAAAATATTTCAATTTTCTACCCCCTCTCTTAAAATGTGGCACTTACAAGTGACACTTTATCCTGGGAGTGGCCTAGTGGGTGGGAATTGGGGTATCAGCTGCAGACTGCACCAGCTTCTATATCTCCAACTGTGGGCTCACAGTGCATGCACCCCCAGGCCTCAGTTGGAATTGCTCCTAAACATTCATACTAGCCCCAGTCAGTTCCAGCGTGGTTTCAGCTCTGGCCTGCCACGTGACTTTGTCAGCTGCAGAATCTATGACTCTGACCGGCTTAGGGGCATCCAGACAGCGTGTACCTACTCTCTGCTTCCCACAAAGCATCCGTACTTGAACCGTACAGGGCTCATTTGATCAGGGCTGTGCTCGTACATGGCTTTGGAGAAGCATGCTGGAAAGGAACTCAGGTATCATCCAGTGTTGTTGCACATGGGACACCAGAGGCTCAGAGAAGGCACTGACCAGCCTAAGATCACACAGCTCTGAGAGGGGACTATGTTGGCTGGTGTGTCACCCATGGCTTAACCTGGTTATTCTCAGTGTCCCGTGGTCCTGTGGCCGTGCCATCCTGATGTTCTCTCTCCCTGCTCTTAGGCCAACGCGGGCAATACCGAGGCTCTACCTGGAGCTCACCTGTTCCAGGGCCGTACTTGGCGCTGTGGGTCCAGCCTGTGGCCTCTGTGAAGCCCAGCTCCCGGCAGAGGACATGGGCCGCCTGCAGCGTGAAGTCATCGTCACAGATGGTGCCCCACTCGCCGGCTCGCTGTATCTCCACGCGGCCTTCGAAGGGCTTCCTGGGGAAGCCAGCCAGCCGGAACCGCAGCCCCTGGCTCCCCGCCCTCTTCTCAGGGGCCGTGGATGGGGACGGAGATCCCAGGCACGAGCTGCACAGCAGGCACAGCAGCAGTCCCCACGGGCTCCACCGCCAGGCACTGACAGGTCGCATGGCAGAGAAGGAAGGCCTGGGGGAGAGAGAGAGAGAGAGAGAGAGAGAGAGAGAGAGAGAGAGAGAGAGAGAGATATTGAGGCAGGTCCAGGTCTGAGAGAGAGAGAGGTCAAGAGAGGAAAACAGACACTTAGCAAGACCAGAGACAGAAACACAGGGGGAGAGAATGACGGGAACGAAGTGAGGGAGAAACACACATGGAAAGGGGCTGAAACACAGAGTCTGAGAGACTGAGAGACTCAGATGGGGGGGAGGGAGAGAGACGAAGAGGGGGATGGACACAGAAAGGGGGGGGGAGGGAAAGAGAGACTGGCTCTCTTTTTTGTAAAGAGTAGAACTCTCACTATTAGTTGTTAATGTGTCACATCGACCTCCCTTAGTTCTATAATTATCACCTTCGTTAGCCACTCACAATACAAGAGACCCAGAGATCAAAAGACAGTGATTAGAGACCGAGAGTCTGTCAAAATAAAGAGATAGAGACCGAGCAAGAGACACAAAGAGGAAGACCCAGACAGACAGGATGTGAGAGGAAGGGAAATGGTGGGAATGAAAGGGGGCCAACTGAGAGAGATAGGAGAGAGAGGGAGGGACGGAGAGAGGAAGGGGAGAGAGAGAGAGAAAGAGAGAGAGAGAGAGAGAGAGAGAGAGAGAGAGAGAGAGAGAGAGAGATATGGATGGGAGACAGCCAGGCACACAGAGCTGAGGAGTGGCTGAGAGAGGCAGGCAGCAGGTGAGGAGGAGAGGGACTGACAGGAGCCGGGAAGCAGAGGCTGGAGGGACCCAGATGACCTGTTCAGCCAGTCAGAGGACAGACAGTATCGAGGGAGAAGCAGGCAAGGGGGCGTAGGAGATCCTCGGACCTAGGGTCCCATGAATTGAGGCCAAGGCCAGGGTGCCATCTGGGCAGAAACGGAGACCTCACTGCACGCCCTACCCAGCACACAGGCTCTCAAGTGCCCTGCAGGGTCAAGGGGCCAGGAGGGCCAGGCCTCATGCTGGGGGGGGGGGGTTGTCTAAGTCTCCTGCCAACATCGCCTCCCTCCCCACTGTCACCGGGCAACCGGAGGCTGGGGCACCATTCATCTTCCCAGCCAAGGCCTTCCCTCTGTCTGGGGCTGAGAACAGCTCCTGTACTGCGGGGGGCGGGTGGGGGGGGAGAGGAGGGAGGGGACTGGGGGCGCCCAACATGCTTCCCCAGACTCAGACAAACAACCCAACAGGACAGCTTTTTTTTTCTTTCCCCTGGGGACATTTAGGCTTGGGGGCCCAGGGGAAGGGCCTCCCAGAGGTGTCCCCAGCCTTAGGACCCTCCCAGCTGCCCTATTTAGAAAACCCTGCCCCCTCCCTCTCTCCCCCGCCCGCCCCCGAATATCTGCCTCCTCTCTCCAACCTTCTCGTCTCACTCGTCTTTGACAATAATACAGCCTCCAGCTGGTTGGCTTCCCCTCGGACTCCATCCCACATCACCCCTTTGCCCTGGACCCTCCACCATCCTCTCCATCCGCGACTCCCCTGCCTCCTGCCGGCAGCGTGACCCCCTTCCCCCCAGCCCACCCCTTACCTCTGGCTGAGCGGGGGCCCTGGGCGCTGGGAGAGGAGTCCTGGTCCTGGAGATGAGTCCTAGGACTTCCCCAAAAAAGTGCTCGGCCAGGGGAGCCTGGACCCCCGCCTTCCCTCCCCCCTCTCTTTTCGTCCCTCCCACGTCCCCTTGAGCCCTCCCACATTCCGCCTTCTCCCCGAATTCCTCCCCAGCCGGGTCCCTCCTCTGGGTCCTCCCCTCCCCCGTGGAGCTCGCTGGCCGCCGCTGCCCCGCCTCCCCGGCCCCGCCCCGCCCTCCGGGCGGCTCAATGGAGCTTTTCTCCCCCCGGGCGGCGGGAGCCGGGCGCCGCGGTCAGGGGGCCGGAGGCCGCGGGGCTCCGAGCGGCCCGGGCGGCGGCCCCGGCAGCGGCGGGAGAGCGCGGCTCAGCGCCGGGCTGCGGGGAGCCTTCCAGTCCCGGCCGGTCCACCGGGCCCCCGGCTCCGGGGGGAGGACACGGCCAGGCCGGGGGCCGGTCTGGTGGGGGGAACGGAGGCTAAGAAGGCCCCCGGGTCCCCTCCGGGTCCCCAGGGTGCCGGTCGGCACTTTGCAGGTGATGTCACAGCCTTTACTCCTACGTCACGCGGAGCATATGACGTCGAGCACAGCTCCCGAGCCCGGGCGCCAGAGCCCTCCGGGCTTCTCTCGGGGGAGCCACTCGTGCGCGCCCCGGGACTGCGGGGCGGGGAGGGGCCCGGGGGGAAGGGCGCCGTCCGGCGTATCTGGGGACCCTCTTCCCGTCTGGCTCCCCGTTCGCGGTCTACGGGGTCCGGGTCCCGGGCAGGAACGCCTCCGGGGGGCCCGGCCCCGCCCCCGCCCCGCCCCCGCCCCGCCCCCCGTCTGCAAGGCCAGGAAGCAAAGAAGGAACCGCCGGGGGCCATGGACGGGGCCATGGACGGGGCCGTGATGGAAGGGCCGCTCTTTCTGCAGAGTCAGCGTTTCGGTACCAAGGTAGACCGGGGCAGGGGTCCCGAACCCCACCAGGGCCAGGGGTGGGGGAGGGGGAGGGGCAGGCGGCGGGTGGGAGCGCGGCGCGGGGAACCGAGAGCCGGTGAGGTCCCCGCCAAGTACCCCCGCGCCCCGCGGAGGTGCGTCCGCCAGCCCCGGGGGCGCGCGCGCTCGGGGCCCCGTCAGAAGCCTCAGACTTGAAAGCGGCGCGGCGGGTCCTTCCTTCCTTCCCGGTCGGCCTCGCCAGCGCCCCTCGCTCTCTCCCCGCAGCGGTGGAGGAAGACCTGGGCCGTGCTCTACCCGGCCAGCCCGCACGGCGTGGCGCGCCTCGAGTTCTTCGACCACAAGGGGTCGAGCTCCGGAGGAGGGGGCCGGGGGAGCTCGCGCCGCCTGGACTGCAAGGTGATCCGCCTGGCCGAGTGCGTGAGCGTGGTGCCCGTGGCCGTGGAGAGCCCCCCGGAGCCGGGGGCCGCCGCCTTCCGCCTGGACACCGCGCAGCGCTCGCACCTGCTGGCGGCCGACGCGCCGGCCAGCGCCGCCTGGGTGCAGACGCTGTGCCTCAACGCCTTTCCGGTGAGGGGCCTGGGCTGCCGCGGGGGGCTGGGGCGAGCCCCGCTGGGCCCTGGAGGCGATGCGGGCTGGGGGTAGGACCTGGGCAGAGGAACTGGGCTGGCTCAGACCCTCGGAACCGTGTGGAGGGAATGACAGTGTTCTGGATGCTCTCTTTCTCTTTACCCCAGAAAGGCAGCTGGGGTCCCGCGCCTGCCGAGAACCCACCCAACCTTTCTGCGCTGGAGATGCTGGAGAACTCGCTGTACAGCCCCACCTGGGAAGGTAGCCGCCTGGAAAGCTGTGCAGGGAGGAGGGGGAAGGAAGGGTGCCCCTGGGAAGGGACCGACTGGGGTTTCCATGGGGAAGTAGGAAGTCACTGAGAGCTGGCTTACAAGTGAGTGCTGGGGCCACCTGTTCCCCCCTCCCAGCCAGGTGCCAGTGTAACTGTGAATTCCTTCCAGGATCCCAGTTCTGGGTCACGGTGCAGAGGACGGAAGCCGCGGAGCGCTGCGGCCTGCATGGCTCCTATGTGCTGAGGGTGGAGGCTGAGAAGCTGACTCTCCTGACTGTGGGAACTCAGAGTCAGATACTCGAGCCTCTCCTTTCCTGGCCCTACATTCTGCTGCGTCGCTATGGCCGAGACAAGGTAGGGGTGCGGGCTGTCTGGGGCTGGGGCTGAGGGCCGGGTGGGCAGGGAGGAAGGTGGAAAGCCTTCTGGACAACCCTTCTTTGCCTAGCTCAGGAGCCCACCTCCCTCGCCAGCTGGTCTATCCGTTGTAGACCCCCTCACCTCTCCTGTTTCCCTTCTCTTCCAGGTCATGTTCTCCTTTGAGGCTGGTCGGCGCTGCCCCTCTGGCCCCGGAAACTTCACCTTCCAGACGGCGCAGGGAAATGACATTTTCCAGGCGGTCGAGACTGCTATCCAACGGCAAAAGGCCCAGGGCATGGCTGGTCAGGGGCAGGATATCCTTAGAGCTGATTCCCGGGAAGAAGCGGCGGAGGGGAATCTGGCTTCCCACCCTGGTGCCCAGGAGCTGCCGGACAGCCCCCCGGCTCTGTATGCCGAGCCCTTAGACTCTCTGCGTGTTCCTCCGGGCCCTTCCCAGGACTCCCTGTACTCGGACCCTTTGGACAGCACCCCTGCTCAGGCAGGGGAGAAGGCACAGTCAAAGAAAACCCTCTACTGGGACTTGTATGAGCATGTGCAGCAGCAGTTGACGAAGGCCAAGCTGACGGACCCCAAGGAGGACCCCATCTATGATGAACCGGAGGGCCTGGGGCCGGCTGCTACTGTCCGGGGCCTTTACGACCTGCCGCAGGAGCCCAAGGACGCATGGTGGTGCCAGGCCCGCACGAAGGAGGAGGGCTACGAGCTCCCCTACAACCCCGCCACCGATGACTACGCCGTGCCGCCCCCTCGGAGCACAAAGCCCGTCCCAGCGCCCAAGCCCCAGCGCCTGGCCTTCCCTGAACCTGGTACCGCTGGCGCCAGTGGCAGCAAAGGCCGCAGCTCAGACACTGCCCTGTACAGCCAGGTCCAGAAGAACCGGGCCTCAGGGAACTGGGACTGCGGGCTCTCTAGCATAGGGGCCGACAGGCCTGGAGTCAAGTCAGAGGGCTCCACCTGAGAAGCTGGGTGAGGCTGGGCGGGGTTGCTGATGGGTGGAGAATGGAGAGGTGGCATTGGGGGGGATCTAAGAAACCTGACCACACCAGTGGGACCCAGAGGACGGAGGGGCCTGTGTGAGACCAGAGGACCAGACAAATCAGGGGAGCCAAGGGAAGAAATGATGAATCCCCAGAAGTCCTGGAAGTGAGACTGATGACAGGGGCTCAGGGATGGTACCTGGGGAGGCCAGCATCTCGAAGTCATCCCCCCGAAAGAATGAATGGGTACCACGGGAGGGGCCTGCATGGAGGCTGTAGGAAGATGCTGGACTGCCTGGATCCTTTCCCCTGTATTCTCTTCCCCCCGCCCCAGAGATTTATTTAAAAAAAGCTTTATTCTCATTAAAGTCAGAGGGTTTAAGAGGTCTATGTGTGTGAATAGTCACAGAGGGGACACAGAAGCAGGGGGTGCTGGGTGGGTGTGGAGGGGGCCAGGAGGAGAACCAGGGATGTGTTGGGTGGTCCATCCAGTCCATCTGGGCTTGACCCTATCTCTGTGATGCTGGCTGAGTTTGATAACATCTGCAACCTGCAACCCTTAGTTACCCCTGCTGCTCCTTTGCAAACTGGGAAAACTTTCTACTTCATGGGGTTGTTTATAGGGAAGGAGGTAAATTTCTCAAGTACTTAGTGCAATTTGAAGTACAAAGAAGGTGAACATTTTATAGTCACTCTGTGGATGGAGAGGGCAGAAGGGAAGGTGGAACGGTGTGAGGAGAGGAGAATAGGAAAGGAATAGGTCTTTTCCCTACCTTCCCCACCACCCATCCCATCCATACACACTTTGCACGTAGGTACCGAGTACCGTCCGCTTTTCTGTTCGGAGCCTAAAGGGCACCACAGGGGGCCAGGTGTAGCGGAAGGGGCACGGGCTACGAAGCCATGCTTGGGTTTCCAGCCTACTTGTTTTCCACGAGCTTTGAAAACCCCATTCTTGTCTTCTGAGGCCACTTCCCGAAGGTGCTCTGATATCCACCTGCTTACACAGAGCAACGAGGAGAAACTCGGGGCCTGAAATGCTCCTAACAATGGTGTTGGTTTACGGGTGTTTAATCTTCATCTGTGTTAACAGAAACAAATGACCCAAAAGAAAACGGACAAAACAAAACAAAAAAATGAATGCCTACTTGGAGAAGTGAGAGGCTTGGGTGTGCCCCCCCCCCTCCCCCCAGGCTGAGGGGTGGGGTGGGGCGGGCCCTGAGAACAGAGGGAAGGCGTGTCTGAGTCACCTGGAGCTCAGAGGCTCAGGTGGATGGAAGGAAGTCTGACCTCAGAACACTGGCATGTGAGCCCTAGCTTGGATGTGGCTGAGCAGGGCAGCCAGGGTCTGGTGCTGGTTACTTAAACCCTGAGGGATTCTCCTCCTCCTCTCCCTCCGTTTCCTCCTCAGAAAGCTGCAGGAAGGCTTCTGCGGAGGCTTTGCTGGCCGCTGGTATCTTGGGGGCTCTGCCTGGGGCTGACGTCATCGGTAGAGGGGCCACCGTGGCTCGAACTCGGTTTGTCTGCAACTGCCCAGGCTGGAAAGAAAGTGAGCAGAGTCATCTCTGAAGACCTGAGTTCCTGATCTCCTCTTCCATTCCCTCTGGGTCTGCTGCCCTCACTCTGCTGCCTTCCCTTGTCCCACCCGAATGACAGCCTCAAGGCTCAGGGCAGTGGAGCCCCCTGGACTCCAGCCTCCACAGTGCACAGGGCCTGGCTGTGACCCTCCTCTGCTAGCTTGCCCACCACCTAACTTATGGTGAGCTCTGTTCCTCCTAGTCTGTAACGTCAGCTAAGGGAAATTGGTTTGCAAGCGTGTCAATCTCGCAGCTGGCGGGTTTGTGCTAAAGGCTCTATTTCTGCAGAACTAGGAAAAGTTAGGGGTAAAAGTAAGCTCAACTATAAAATACGATTTCATAAAGAGAACGCTCCACATCCAATTACTTTTCTCTCTTTAACCTTTGTCGCTAGAGCCCTCTCTACAAGCTACTAACCTTGGTCAGCCTCCCTTTGTTTTTCTGTGAAATGACACTTACCTTGTGAGGAGTAAATGAGAACATTATATGTGAAAGCACTTGTCCGACATCCTGGCAAATAAATGACTGGTGCTCAATGAATGCTAATTCCCCTTCCCTGGGGCATTTCTTTTCCTACCGTCCCTTCAGCCTCTCCTTTCAACGAAGACCTATCTGTGGCTGTAGCTCCAGTGCAGCCCGTGTTAGCGGAACAAGGACTAACCGGGAAATTAAGATCCCGGAACATTATCAGGTCACTGCTTCAGCACAAGAGCTCCCTCAGTGGGGAGGGGTTGTAATTTCCTCTGCCTCAAGCAAAGGGATGTTCTCTTCCTTCCCTATCGGCCTGGTCCAGAGAAGGACCAGAGAAGAGGGCTGCTCCCTGCGATGGGGTGGGGTGGGGATTATAATAGGAGATGGAGGCATCTCTCGGATTCTGGGCATGAAGGGGGAGGAGGGGAGAACGGAGGGGAGCTGTACCTTTCTCAGGGCCCGGCTCTCCCAGCTCGGGTGCAGTCGGCCCTGGGGCTTGGCAAAGGTGCTGCTCAGGTAGGAATACAGGCGACTCCAAACCTGCAAGGGGTTGTAGGCGGGCTCTAGCTCCAGGCCGTCTAGGAAGTGCTGAGGAAGAGAGGAGGAAGAACTTGAAATCACAGAATACAAGATGGCAGGCAGAGCCGAAACCGGTTTGGCTCAGTGGATAGAGCCTCGGCCTGTGGACCGAAAAGTCCCAGGTTTGATTCCGGTCAAGGGCATGTGCCTTGGTTGCAGGCACGTTCCCATGGGGGGGGGGGGAAAGGGGTGCAAGAGGCAGCTGATCGGTGATTCTCTATCATCGATGTTTTTAGCTCTCTATCCCTCTCTGTAAAAAATCAATAAAATATATTAAAAAAAAAAAAAGATGTCAGGCAGAGCCTTTTGGGTGTAAGATGCTGGAGGAGGTGTGGACACTCAGGTGTCTCTGAAGACTGTGAAATAGATGAGTGTCCCACAGGGTGTTCTGGCCCCCAGCTCTGATTGTGAGGCACGTGTGTGTCAGGCACAGGTACAAGAAGTCTGAGAACCTGACTGGTTAGGGACACTGAACACTCTGGCCCCGAGAGGCATGTCATGGGGTTCCGGAGCGACATGAGGGTTATAAGGAATCCAGTGTGCAAGGCTGTGAGGGAGGGTGTGCTCCAGCCTGGGGGTGCTTGCAGTCTGCAGGGCGAGTACACAGAGTTCTGGCCTGCCTGGGAGGTGAGGTGAGCAGAACTAAAGGACACGCGAGCACAGCATTCCTGAGCAGTCAGGTTTTCCGGCCACAACATCCTGTGCCAGGAACCATTGGCCCTGAAGTGAGACGCTGAGTGAGCCACCGCCGCTGTGCCCACCTCTCTCTGCATCCCTGCGGCCGGCAAGCCGAGAGCACAATCCCAGGCTCTGTCCTCGGCACATTGGCCAGGGATCCAGCAGCGAGGTGGTTCCAGTTCTCCCCACCCGGATCCGCCCTCCTGTCCTCCGACTGGGGAGGCTGGCGGAGAAAATCCAGAATCCAGATCCAAGGTAGAGGATGAGGAGGAAATGGCCTTCAGAGCTGTTCCTCCCCTTTGCCCTTCAGTCTGATTTTGAAGCCCTTCCTACTCTGGACGCCTACATTGTCTGCCTTTTTTCTTCCCCTCAACAGACAGAAAAAGATGCGCACACACACAGGCAAGCACACATGCACACTGACAGCGCAGAGAGAGACCGTGGGAACACACCAGACTGCTTTCTTCCTCCTGCCCGGCCTCAGTTCCTTGCTTCTCTGACTCTCACCACACCCTTGGGGCCACTTCTTCCTCAGCTCCCCGTCCTTCAGCTCACTGGCTCACTCCTCTCCCTCATCCCTTTCTGGAACCTCCTTCTCTTCTCTCCCCGCTCTCTGTCTCATGTGACCTGGGCTCCACTTGCCTCCACAATCCTCAGGCTGTCCTCAGGCGGGTCCTCCGGCAGCGGGGGGAAGGGGCTGGGCAGCACCAGTTCCCGCGTGGCCACTGCCTTCACCAGCAGAGTGGGGGAGCGGGACGGCATGATCACATAGAAGGTGGTGGCAGCCCCTCTCGGGCTGTGGCCTCGGCTCGGGGGCTCCCCTTTGGCCAACAGCAGCCATTCTCTTTTCTGAAACAAGGGCATACGCACACTCTGGTTCATCTTCAGTCTTTGTAACAGGTTTGAAGATCAATCCCAACCGAGGTTTCCCCGAGGGAGGGAATTCCCGCCTGAATCACCTGTGCCCTTCGATACCGTACTCCTCTTCCTCCCCTGGGGGGATGTACACAAAAGTGTTGACATGTCCGGCTGGTGTGGCTCAGTGGTTGAGCATAGGCCCATGAGCCAGGAAGTCATGGTTTGATTCCCAGTCAGGGTACATGCCCCAGTTGCAGCTGTGAGCTCATTCCTCAGGGGGGGTCATGCAGGAGGCAGCCGATTCAATGTTTCTATCTCTCTACCCCTCTCCTTTACTCTCTCTAAAATCAATAAAATATATATTTTTTAAAAATGTTGGCAATACAGAGACAAGTTAAGAAATTCCTTGGAGTAGATGTTTACCCTAGAGGGGCCTAATGTCTTACTCAATGGTAAATGTAGAGTTTTAAGAATTATAATTCTCTCTCTATTATATATATATAATATATATATTGTAGAGGCCCAGTGCAAGAAATTTGTGCACGGGGGTGTGTGTCCCTCAGCCCAGCCTGTACCTTCTCCAATCTGGGACCCCTCGAGGGATGTCCAGTAGGATCGGGCCTAAACGGGCAGTGGGACATCCCTCTCACAATCCTGGTCTGCTGGCTCCCAACTGCTCGCCTGCCTGCCTGTCTTCCTGATTGCCCCAACTGCTTCTGCCTGCCAGGCTAATTGATGCCTAACTGCTCCCTGCCAGACTGTAGGAGCTGGTCCCTGCCAGACTGTTTGCCCCTAACTACTCTCCCTTGCAGGCCTGGTCACCCCTAATTGCCTCCCCTGTAGGCCTGGTCCCCCACAACTGCTTTCCCCTACAGACCTGGGTCCCCCCCCAACTGCCCTTCCCTGCAGGCCTGGTTGCCCCAAAGTTCCTCCTCTGCCAGCCTGGTCACACTTAACTGCCCTCCCCTGCAGGCTTGATTGCCTCCAACTGCCCTCCCTTACAGCCCTGGTCCCTCCCAACTGCCCTCCCCTGCTGGCCATCTTGTGGTGGCCATTTTGTGTCCACATGGGGGCAGGATCTTTGACCACATGGGGGCAGCCATCTTGTGTGCTGGAGTGACAATCAATTTGCATATTACTATTTTATTAGATAGGAGATATATATATATATATGATTTCAGAGAGGAAGAGAAAGGGAGAGATAGAAACTTCAATAATGAGAGAGAATCATTGATTGGCTGCCTTCTGCATGCTCCCAACTGGGGATTGAGCCTGCAACTTGGGCATGTGCTCTTGACTGGAATCGAACTGGGACCCTTCAGTCCACAGACTGACACTCTATCCACTGAGCCTTCTTAGAGCTTATACTTTAGTAAGGGAAAGGATTGCAAACTGATGTTTGTCCTGACTTAGGTGGCCAACTGTTTCAGTTTGCCTGTTTTTAGCACTGAAAGTTCTGTATCCCAGAAAACCCCCAGCTCCTGAGAAAACTGGGGTGGTTGGTCCCCTTCCAAGGCTCCATGGAGAATGGAATGGGGTTAACTATAGTCATGAGACATTTCTTGCACCTCAGTGCTATGGAAAAAAGTCACCCCTGCTACATGTGGTGATTACTAGGAATCTTCGAATGTTGGGCACACAAAACAATTATGACTCAGGGATTTTAGTCAACTGATTTTGAGACTAGCTAGCTAAGATTTTGTTAGAGAATTGGTATGCAGAAACAAATGAAGTCTCTCCAAAGGAACTATTGATGTGAGGATTATTATAGGGCTGGAAAAAGTGATTTGAAAGAGTTTTACAAAATGCTCTAAAATGTTTGGGCTGATTTAAAGAAAGGTTGGCAGAAAGTTCTGGAAGGAAGAGGGACAAATCCATCCTTATCAGAGTTTGATAAAGATTTTAATTTATCTGTAATTTCCAGGAGTATTCTGAGAAAGTGAGAAGTAAGGTAGCTGAACTTAAAGACCCTATTTCGGACCCCAAAATTGTAACCTCTTTGGAGACTTGAAATCCAAACTTGAACTTGTTACCTAAGTCATGGGTTGACCTTTTAGTACAGGCTGTGTTGGAAATGGTTCACTGCCATCGCTGGCATCTGAGAATGAGAAAAGGCAGGGGTGTGGGGATGTCTTTGGGGTGTCCTAGACCAGCCTTTGAGAACCTCAAATTGAACAATGTTTAATGACTAGATGACTGTGGAGTACTTAGGACAGGCTTTTGCTAATTCTAAAATAAGGAACATGAGTTAGATGCTGAATTTACCAGAAAAAAGTTGAAAAGTTATCTATTTATGTTGTCGTTAGAGATTTTGCTATAGAAGGGGCCAAGGAACTTAGACTTTTAGAAAGTGGGACTGATTCAGCCGAAACCGATTTGGCTCAGTGGTAGAGCATCGGTCTGTGGACTGAAAGGTCCCGGGTTCGATTCCGGTCAAGGGCATGTACCTTGGTTGCGGGCACATCCTCGGTAGGGGGTGTGCAAGAAGCAACTGGTTGATGTTTCTCTCTCATCGACGTTTCTAGCTCTCTATCTCTCTCCCTTCCTCTCTGTAAAAAATCAATAAAATATATTTAAAAAAAGAAAGTGGGACTGATTCAGTTTTGAAGAGGTGTGGACAGGGGCAGAGCTGAATGGTGTGCCACACTCCAACCTCAGCCTGACTAAAATCATCCTCCCCCACCCTTGCCCTGACTTCTTTACTAAGGTTATGAAGGAAGGTGTGGCAGCCAGTTTTTGGTGGACTGAACACTGCTTTCCTCCCTCTTCCTTTCCCCATTTTTCTCTCTACCCATTTTTCAGCCTTTCAGTGATTGGTCTAGGGGTGATTTGTGACCTAGATTTAAATAATGAGACATAAAAGTTGCTGGGTAATATTCTAGAAAAGCTTTGTAATATGCTGGCAAGCTTTTTGTCTCTGTACCTACCTCTTCTCCCCCCCCCCCCCCAGGACAGCATTTAGTCTTAAATTGCAATAGCCACCTTGTGACCAGGAGACAATTGGTATAAGGATGAAGTACACCTGCTATGGTTGCTGCAGTGGAAAAATGGAGAGAGACTGGGTCTTTGAAGGTATCATTAATCAATTGGACTAACTCATAATTGTCTGCCCCCACACTTCTTGTTAATGAGAAAAATAAACTCTTAATTACTCAAGTTAGACTTAGATTGGTTTTCTGTTAGTTGCAGCCAAATTGATCCTGTATAGATACCAAAAGGGAAAGAAGAGAATATGGTTATTCACTTCTGATATCTGGGAAAACAGGAATAGAAGGGACAATTTTAGGCCTTGCCAAAGGGCCAGTGGGAATCCTATACAATAAAGAAGCAATATGCAAATTGACCCTCAAATCCTCGTGTCATCACAAGATGGCCATCCCCACATCATCACAAGATGGCTGCCCCCAGGTTGTTATAAGATGGCCACTCCCACATTGTCACAAGATGGCCACCACAAGATGGTCACCCCACGTCATCACAAGATGGCCGGTAGGGGAGGGCAGTTGGGGGGGACTAGGTCTGCAAGGGAGGGCAGTTGGGGGCAATCAGGCCAGCTGGGGAGCAGTTAGGCATCAGTCAGGCCTGCAGGGGAGTGGTTAGGGTATGATCAGGCTGGTAGGCAGAAGTGGTTAGGGGCAGAGCAATTAAGCAGGCAGACAGGTGAGTGGTTAGGAGCCAGCAGTCCCAGATTGTGAGAGGGATGTCCAACTTCCAGGTTAGACCTGATCTCACCACAGGGATCAGGCCTAAATTGGGAGTTGGACATCCCTTGAGGGGTCCCAGATTGAAGAGGATTCAGGCTGGGCTGAGGGACATCCCCCTCCAGTGCATGAATTTCATGCATCAGGCCTATAGTTTATTATAGTAGGTAAAAGCTCTAATTCACCTAACCAGAGCTCTCTTGGCCTGCCAATAGTATGATGGTCTGGGACCAAATTCAGTGATTAAAGAAGCACCGACTGACCATTCCTGAGTAGGAGTGTTTCTGAAGCAGCCATTGAGAGTATGGAAGAGCAAGAGCACTCATTTTGCTTTGCTTGTGGGCAGAGACACATTTCCTTGTCCTCATGCATCCCGGAAGGGAAATCAGAGCTAGTTATGGAAAAGCTGTGCATACCTGGGATTTTTTGGAATCTGGAAAGGCATCAGGAAGAAATTAGGTTAATTTGAGATTATTTGCTTATTTTAGGAGGGGAAGAAAACAAAGCTGCAATATCCACGACTCTGCTACTCCCATACTGGCTTCCAAAAAGGAGACCAGGGGAGATAGTAAAAGACATTGCAACCCCTAAACAGCAAGTTATACATTCTTCTCAAGTGAGCATGGAACATTTCCAGGCTAGACCATATGATAGACCAAAAGTCAAGGTACAATAAATTTAAAAATATTAAAATCATCAAAAGTCTCTTCTTTAACCACAGTTAGAGATGGGAAGAATAGAAATCAATAACAAAAACTTTTTTTGGGGAAATTCATGAATATGTGAAAATTAAATAACATATTCCTAAATAATCAATGGTTCACAGAAAAAAATCATAAGGGAAATTAGAAAATACCAGAACTTATGAAATAAAGTAGGGGAGTGCTTACAGAGAAATTTATAGCTGAAAACTCCTAAAAAAATTGATCTCAAATGAATAATCTAATTTTTCACCCTAAGAAATGAGAAAAAGGAGACAAAACTAAAGCAAGCAGAAGAAAGAAACAATAACAACAACAAAGAAAATACTAGAGCAGAAAGAAACAAAATGAAAGAATAGAAAAATAATAGCAAAATTCAATGGAAATAATAGCTTGTTCTTTGAAAAATTGACAAATATTTAGCTAGATTAGTCAAGGAGAAAAGAGAAAATACCCGTTACCAAAATAAAAAATAAAAGAAGGGCATCATTACTGACCTTACAGAAATTGGAAAGATTATAAGAAAATATTATAAATAACTGTATGCCCAACAAATTATAGATAACTTCCTAGAAAGACACAAACTACT